CCAATATACTGATCTGAAATCATTTAACCATAAATAATGAGCTTAAAAATCCTAATAGGTCACCAAAACCTACAACTAAATTCAAAGCACAATAAATGAGTAATATGTATGTCAAAAGTTAAATCATAGCTATTATGTTCATATGATTATTAAATCGATATAGAAATAAAAAAATTCATATATACTAATAGTAGTAGAATTTGTAAATAGTAAATACTACATTATGAAAGCTGATAAAATAGTAAACTAAAATGAGTGTTAAACTTATAAAGAAATCATTATTTCCATAATACCAATCAGTAAATAAATTATGTAAAACATCCAATCAAAAATTTAGTAAAGTTCATTGAAATTGAATTAATGTAGTAAAATCATATCGAAATGTACACAAACTAACTGATTATTTTATATCATCTCATTCTCATGCTCAATATCTCAATCACATGCTCAATAAATTATGTATATCACATGCCTAGTATATCACATGCTCAGTATTAGCACAATAAATTTGTAGTATTAAATAGTATCAATATCTATATCAATAATAATAATAATATAGTGGTAGGAGCAGTAGAATAATATAATAATAATAAATTCATGAAATAATATGAATAATGCCACAAAAATATATATTTTAGTAGTAATATTAAATAAGTAAGAAGTCATGGCTATCATAGTATTTTTGTTAGGAAAGTTGCTATTTGCATGTTTTACATTCTTGCAACTTGTATTATTTTGATGATTCCAAATATTATTGTTTTATGTGTAGTTATCTCCTAACACTTTTTGGAAGATTTGTTTTTGCTCTTGTGTGTACTAATATTTCAGGAAAATCAAACTCCAGACTACGAAGACTTCAAATCAAATTCAGCATGAGATACTTTGTGAAATTGAAGCTTGTACTTTTTATTTGAATTAAATTTAAGAGGGAGTGATTGTAATTGAGTGAATAAATTTACACAAACTTAAAGGAGATCTTGAAAAAGTTTTTATACTGATCGTACGGGACGAACATTGTTCGTACGGGACGATCAGATCAGTTATCTCCTTGTAAGAGCAATAGAACGGACAAGAATTGAACTGGAAATATTTTCTAAGTCCTAATCGTCCAGACGAAATCATTTTCGTCCCAAGACGAGTTTCTTTCTGCAAAAATTTCGTCCAGACGAAGTACAGTTCGTCCAGGACGATGGGAACCGACTATGGCAGTTTCTGGCAGTTTTCGGAACCGACTTTTGATATAACTGTTCGTCCAGACGAAATATTTTCGTCCCGGGACGAACCAATTTCGTCCAGGACGAAATTGGTTCGTACAGATGAACAAAATTTCGTACGGGACGATCCAGTGCGCAGAAAAACTTGTTTTGGGCAGTTTTTTGGACGTTTTTTCTTCTCCTTTCTATATAAGGAGTCCTAGAAACTATTACAAATGCCTTTGGAGTTGTTTTCTCTTGAGAGGGATCATTGAGAGGGAGAAGATCCTTGGAGGGGATTTCAAGGGAGTGTGGAGGGGATATTCACACGGTTGCTCCGGCGAAGGCTCTCAAGTGAAGTTCAACAACATCGGTCCGGTTCTCTGCCGACACTTGGAGAAGTGTAAAAGGACGACAAAGTGTATCTTTGACAGTCATTGTGTCTTCGTTCTTGTGGAGAAAACTTGAAGAGAGAACTTGAAAGGGAGAGAGGAAAGGGTGGAGTTTGAGAGGGAGAAGATCCTTGAAGGGGATTTCAAGGGAGTGTGAAGGGGATATTCACACAGTTTCTCCGGCGAACTTGCACCTCATAACCATCGGATTCAAGGGACGTCTTGAGGGAAGTTTTTATCAAGAAGAAGATCTCTTTGGTGTTAAAGAACCCGGCTACTCCGCCGCACCGGGGAAGGTGAAAGTGATTTTGTACAGGCTTCTCCGCCTTGCTGTGGGAGCAAAAGGAGAGTCACTTTGTGGTTTTAGTGCAATACTCAGAGGGTGCCTCTGGGGAGTGGATGTAGGTCAAGGTTTGACCGAACCACTATAAATCTGGTGTGTTCTTTCTTATTTTTTATTCCGCATTTAATTTCATTGCAAGTTGTTTACTCTGGTTGAAAAGTTTATTTTAAACTTTAATTTTAACTTGCATCAATAATTCAAAAGGTTTTCTAAAATTCCAAGAGTTGAAGTTACATTTTTTAAATTGTCAATTCACCCCCCCTCTTGGTAGCCTTGGGACACTCACTTAGGCTTAACATCCTAATTACTAGACTCAACAATTTTTAATATTATATCAATATCAGTAGCCATTAGCTCAGTAAAAAGAGTAATCACTCTTTGCCCATCGACATAGTAATTATCTCCTTATAACTCCCAATCAGTATCACATGAATTAGTAGAGGATAACACCAAATGATTGCAAACTTGGATTCAAGGATTCTAATTTTGATGATAACAATCATTTCTGCCATTTCTTTTTCTCTATTATTGCCCTGCCTACTAACCTTTCAGGTCCATAAGATCAATTGTAAATCAAGTGAGCTTAAGATTGGGTAGGTTAGGATTGAGTCAGTATGTCAGTGTACTTAAAGTGTTTTTACATTTTCTTGAGTCAGATGTAATAAAGTGGATCCTGATATTAATGACCTTGCACACACACACTTAGGGGAAAAAATTCTATATATTTTAGATCTTTCTATTTTTGATCATATTATCTAGGAAGATCCAAAATTATCTTGGATGATTAATTAAAAATAGAAACCCTAATTAGGGCATCCTTATTAAGACAACTAAATTAAGCAAATTATCATAGACGATATTAACATCATCTTGGATGATAGGCTGAAATAAAAAAAATTAGCCATAAACTCTTTTAGGTATGTTAATATTTTTAGAAATCGTACATGATAATCCCATATCATCCTGGAAAATTCATTACAATCATGCCTAAATTAATCAGGTGATTAAGGAAAGCAATTAAGGTTTGATTTATTAATCATATTATCTTGGACAATCAATTAGAAAAACATTCATCTTCTCCTGAATCACCTGGATGAATAGAATGATTTGCTGGATGAATATCCTTGATTTTGAACTAATCGTATAGGACTATTAAATCATCATCCTAGATAATATGTTATATTTCTTCATCATCCAACATATATAACTCTTGACAAACAGAACGATGTACTGGATGATATATAGGGTTTTGAACTAATCGTACAAGATAATGTCATCATCATCCTAGATGATCAGAACAAATAAGGGTTTCAATCATCCAGCCCTCTTAGATCATTCTGGCTGAAAGGGATGAAAATACACTGATCATACAGGATGTCTGTCGATCGTCTTGGAAGATCTTTGACGGCTTGTTGCAAATTAGGGCAAATTTTAAGCTCTTCTTTATAAGCTCTCCTGATTATTCAAGTAGAGATCTTTTACTGCTGTCCTAAAATTAGAGAGCCAAGAGATGGAGATGGAGAGCTTGGTAGAGAGGGAGAAGAAATTATGAGGGGGAGTTTGTGAGGGTTTCCATAAAGGTTGCTCTAAGAAGTGATCTAAGTCATCTTCTCCAATCATCATCCCAAGTTCCTTGGAGGCTCTAGGGAGGTCTTCTTTAGTAATCGATAAAGGTTTGTTTCTTGTATTAGGAGGAAGCAAAAGGAGGTTGGGTTCTTTGCCTCACTTGGGTCAGTGGAAAGGAGTTTGTAAAGACTTCTCTGCCTTGCTATGGGAGTAAAAGGAGAGTCACTAAGTTTTAGTGCAATACCTGCAAGAGAGGCTCTAAGTCGTGGATGTAACAAACTCTTACAAACCATAATATTTAAAGGAAAGCCTGTTAGCCTACCTTCCTGTACAGGTCAATCAGTCTCTAACCAATGGGACAACCAATCTTTACTTGTCTTTTACACATATAGTAGTATCATATTATTATAATATTAATTTTAATCATATATCCATATTCATTTTTAATGCATTGTAATAAATAAACATTATTGATCTTAATTTAGAAAATGCCCAAAATATCATAATGGTAGATAACAAAGAATCATATTAGGCAAAAATACACATTTTTAAAAAATTACCAAAATACCAAAAATTATATGAAATGATGTTTAAAGACTTTTATCGTTCTACACTACTATTTTTAGATGTCAAAATAAATTTTTGGGTTGACAAAAATAACTATATTTTTAAAATTGCATGGTGAAAATCTCAAATAAAATGCTCATATCATGCTCTCTATAACATACAAAAAGTTACACGATAGAAGTTTTGTCAATACAAATTTATTCATATTTTTTGATAATAGAAACACATATTTGATTAAAAAATTGTAATAAATACAAAATCTTTTGAAACAAAAATAGGTTAAAGTTTTCTTACAACAAGATGAGTAATTTTCTCAATAGTGTCGACGGACAAAAATCACTCTGTGGCCTCCAAATTCTAGTTTCTAATTTCTCTCTCCTCACTTCTTTCTCTTAAAATATCCTCTAAACCTCTCTATTAGCTGAAGTAAGGGAAGGAAAAAGGATTTTATAACAAATTTCTTTAATGCTTTTAGATACTTTAAGGTATTTTAATATAATATAATATAATATTTAATTTAATTAATTTTGGGGGGGGGTTATGGGGGTTTTATGTGTAATTTTATGGGCTTTTGGGGCAGCTTTGGTGGGTGGTTTCTTTATAGATGGAGTAGATGAGGATTAAGATGTTGAAGGAGTTTTTTTGGATCTAATTTATATTGAGCTATTTGGTGGTTAAACTTGTATTGAAGATAATCGACCTTTGCTTCAAGTCGATAGATTTTTTTTTCAAGTCAATCAATCCTGGTGGGCAATTCTCTTCAATTTTATTGCAAACCTTTTTAGGGCTCTAAGTATTTTTTTTGAGTACTTGCCCAATTCTTACCTTGAGCTAGAGGGGGTCTTGATGGGTAGATTGTGGGTGGGCTTGAAAGTGAGAATGAGGGGTAGGAGTGGAAAATTTCTTTTGTATTTGTGAGTGGATTTGGATAGGGTATTGATGAGGAGATTGAATTTGGAGGTTATTAATAACAGTTATGTAAGCATTTATATTTTCTGCGTCATCCTGGGTAACATCTTTAAGGAAATAAAAAATCTACATAGATATTGCACTAATGTTAACAAATCTAAAAAATTATAAGATAAAGAGCATGTTATAGTTATAGCACAACCAAAGCGTAGAGAAGAGAAACTCCCATTAGAGAGAGAAAGAGTTGAATTTTCGAATTTTTGCATTTTTAGATTTCATTCATGTTTATCAGGAATAGGTGGGGATGATGGTGGCGGAGTGCCACCGGTAAGCATAGGCTCCGACGATAAGGTCACCATCCTTTGTTGGTAATTCAAAGTTAGATTTGAAAGGTAATGGTTCATTGTTTATGAAATCCAAGCAGAGTAGTGAGATCCACTTGTTAAAACCACAAGGACCCTTGGTGATCAAAGAGGTCTCTGATGTAGCTCCCAAGATGAACAAGAATGTGGATGGCAAAGGTAAAGCAATTGCTGAATCTGTGGTTAATGTCACTCCTAGAGTTGAGAAAGTTTTTTCTTCCTTTAACTCGATTGATCCAACTATGTCATCATCAGGAATGAAAATTTTTGTTAACAAATTTGAAAATTTAAATGCAATCCCTAGACACAGTGTGATAAGTGCGAATTCATCAAATTTGGTTAATAATAATATTCATTCCTTGGCGAGCGAGAGGAATACATCGAGTGTGGCTAAGGTGTCTGATGAAATGCCGAGTACTATGTTAGTCTGGGTAATATTAATCCATGGAGTAACAAGACTTATATCAAACTTGATTTTAAAGAAGAAGAAGTGTTTTTGTCAGAAGATGGTAAGGCGGTGAGGTTGAATGAGGAATTGGAGGTTGTGAATTCAAAGAAGCAGTTAAATTGGTTGGTAATAAAGGTGTTCGGTAAAGAATTACGATCACATATGGTGGCTTGGGAAATAAGGAGGCTATGGAGTCATTTTGGGCATTTTCACTCAACCTCTATGGGTAGGGGATGGTTCTTATATTCATTTAATTCGGATGAGAAGGTGAAAGCAGTTCTTTCAGGCGGTCCATGGTTTGTTAACGGTCATATAGTAGGCATGGAGAGATGGACTACTGAGTTTTCTTCTTTATCCATGAAGGGGCTAACCTCTCCAATTTGGGTTAGAATGCGACATTTGCCATTGCAATATTGGAATGAGGTAAATGTGGCAAGAATTGTTACAAGGATTGGTAAACCATTAATGCTGGATGGTAGAATGCTTCAATGGGGGAGGAGGGAATTTGCAAGTGTTTGTGTATGGGTAAATCTCGATCAACCTCTTCCATTGGGGGTATGGGTAGATAGCATTTTTGGAAGGTTTTTCCAAAATGTGGATTATGAAAAGGTATCTAACTTTTGTTTTGAGTGGGGGATGTTTGGGCATGTGAAGAGTGATTGTGTCCATAAAGAACCTATTCCCAAGGAGGTGGAGGTTGCTATTTATAAAGGTAATGGGGGAGCTGAAGAGGAAGTAGGCATGAGGTGATGAAGGACCCTTCTTATGGGCCGTGGATTCTTGTCATCCACAAGAAAGGGAGAAGAGCAAATCAAAGAAGCAATGTTGTGAAGCCAAACAATTTGAGATATGTAAAGAAGATTGCAAAACCTGTCTTGGCTATTTAGGAGGAGCGGCCTGAACAGGTTTCTAAAATTAGGGAGGATTCTTCTCATCAGAATCAAGTGGTACTGAATGCTGATATAGAACAATTTGAAGAAGGTGAATGCATATTGGAAGCTGATCGGTATATGGAAAAGGAGCATGGTGCTATTGCTGAGGAAAAGGAAGGGCCTCCTGACAAATGTGGAAACAATTCTGAAGGAGAATTGGGTATGTTCATGAAACATTATTTTTCTTGTATATCAAATTCAATTAATAAATTTGATATTTTGAATATGGATAATGGTGATATGATGAAGGAAGATGTGATAGAAGGGGAAATTGGTAATGCTGGATATTAAGGAGATATTGTTGGAAAGATAAAGGAGATGAGTTGTGTAGAGGGATATGATAGGAATAGATCAGGAGGTGGATTGGCTAGGGATGTTGGTGCTGTTGGGGAGTTGAATAAGGTGAAGCTTGCAAAAGAGCTAAGGTCTCTTGGGCCAATCAAGAATTTTCCCCATGGTAGGAATATGGATGGTGGTGGTAGTAAAAGGAGGGAAGGGGCCTCATCCCCTAGATTGAATTAATGAATTTCTTAGCCTTTTGGAATTGTAGAGGGGCCAAGAAAAAAGAGGCCTCTCTATATCTTAAGGAGTTTATTAAAGATCAAGGTATTCTTTTTGTGGGGCTGGTGTAAACTAAGATCAATGCTTTTGATAAAGTTTCCTTTGAGAGAGTTATGGGGCCTGATTGGGATTTCTTTCTTCTACCGTCAGATGGTTTATCTGGAGGTATTATGGTATTGTGGAGATCTAATCTGGCTTCTTTTTTAGTATTAAAGAAGTTAGAACAGTATGTCATTGGGGACCTTAATGTTTTCAATAAAGGGGTGTGGATGATTGCTACTATCTGTGGGAGTAAGGAGGTTGTGAAGAGGAGAGGGTTATGGGGTAGTCTACATAAAGTGGCTAATAAAAATATCCCTTTGATCGTTTGGGGGGATTTCAAATGTATATTGTCTCAAGAGGACAAGAGAGGTGGAAGGAAGTTTGTATTCTCACAAGGTCCTAAGGAGATGGTTGATTTTATGAATGGGAATGACTTGCATGAAGTGGAGATTGTTGGACCAAGGTTCACTTTGTGTAACAATAAAACTGGAGGAGGCCGAATTCTTCAGAGGTTGGACAGGTGTTTGCTCAATTCTTTGGCTATCAATTGTATTCAGGTGGCAGTGGTGAGACACTTAGCTAGAGTAGCTTCAGACCATTGTCTAATAGTGCTGAAAATTTTTGAGTCATCTAGAAAAAGAAGAAGGATTCTTAAGTTTGAAGATGTTTGGATATCTTATAAAGCTTCTGCCCACATTATAGCTAAAGTTTGGAGTAAGGGATTTCAAGTAGATGATATGGACAGCCTTAACAGAAAATGGAAGAAAGCATTGAAGGATTTGTATTATTGGGGCAAGGCTAAAGTAAAGGAGTTCTCTAAGGAGAAGGATAAACTGAAAGAAGAAATCTTTCATATTCAAGAGGAAGAAGCTAATACGGGTTGGTTAAGTGAAGAGAAGCTTTGGGTGTTGAGATCTAAATTCAAGGAGCTAAATGTGATTCTTGCTCGGTTAAATACTTGGTGGAAGCAAAGAGCAAAGGCGAAGTGGATTGAGGATGGGGATACTAATACTAAATTTTTTCATTCTTTTGAAAATGCTAGGAGAAGTGTAAAATGGATTTCTCAAGTTAGAAATTCAAATGGAGAACTCAACGAGGAGCCTAAGGAGTTGCATGATGTATTCTTCAATTTCTTTCAAGAAAAGTGGAAAGAAAAAGGATGCTGTATGGATAACTGGCCGGTCCCGAGAACTATTTTGGATGACATAGATAGAAGAGGTTTGAATGAAGACATTTCAGATTCGAAAATAATGGAGATAATCAAAGGGCTGGGTAGTAACAAAGCTCATGGTTATGATGGCATAACCTATTCATTTTTCAAAAATTATTGGAGTATTGTAGGGAATGATGTATGCAAAGCAGTGAGAAGATTATTTGTTACAAGTAAAATGTGCAAGGAATGGAAGGACACACTTGTTGTGCTTATTCCTAAAATAAATAACCCAGTCTCTCCTGCTGGCTTTCGTCCTATAAGCTTGTGTAACTCTATCTATAAAATTGTGGCTAAGGTTTTATTGAACAGGCTATTGTTGGTCATTCCTAAGATTATCTCAGAAGAACAAGTAGCTTTTATTAAAGGGAGGAGTATAGCGGATCATTTATTGCTGGCTCAGGAGTTATTCAATAAGATCAGGATTTCTAAATATGGTGTTGGTATGGTAGCTATCAAGCTAGACATGGAGCAAGCCTACAACAACTTGTGTTGGAAGACCCTTTATGAGATGATGAGCAAAATGGGCTTTCCAGAGAAGTTTATGAAGTTGGTGATGGAATGCATTATGGAGCAAAGGTTTTCTACCTTAATCAATGGTGGACTATCCAAATGGATTATGGGGAAGAGTGGTTTCCGTCAAGGCGTTCCACTATCACCCTTTCTTTTTTATCATGTGTTCTCAATTGCTCTCTAATGCCTCTTACTATGAAGGCAAGAACTTAGGAATCACGATTGCTCCAAGGGTTTAGAAGGTATCACATTTGCTCTATGCATATGATGCCCTTTTACTTTCTGATGCTAAGTTGAAGAGTATTAAGCAGGTGAAGAGCATTTTAAGTGATTATTGCGGCTGGACGGGATAGAGATTGAATCATCAAAAATTTGTTATGATTATTGGTAAGACAGTTGAGAGGAAAAGGAAGAATAAGATTGGAAGGAGCACGGGGATCAAGTTGGTAGAAGAAATGGATATTTGGGAACCAAGATGGCTCTAAGGAGATTGAGGAAGGCAGATTTCCAAATTCTTTTGGATAAGTCTTTGAAGATATTAACTGCTTGGGGAAATAGGTATATTTCCCTAGTTAGGAAATTGATTTTGGCAAAACTAGTTTTTTGTAATCTCCCCTTATTCCTAATGTCTCATTCCCTTATTCCTTTAAGAATATTGAAGGAAGTTGAGAAGCATTGTAGGAATTTTATTTGGAATAAGCATGATGGAAAACATGGGATGCATTATGTGGGTCGGGATGAGCTATGCAAACCGAGAGCATTGGGTGGATGGGGGCTACATTTGGCTGTGTTCAGATTGGAACCAATGAGGGCAAAGTTTGTACGGAATCTGGTGGAAAATCCTAACTCTTTCTTAATCAGAATTCTGTTGGCCAGATATGGTAATGATTGGTGGAAGAACAAAACATTAAAGGGTGGTTCTTCGGCATGGAGAATCATAGCTAGTGACTGGAAGGCTCTTAGAAGTTTTGTTAGATGGAAAGTGGTGAGGGGTACAATTATAAACATTTTGAAGGATGTGTGGATATTGGATAAAAGTCTACTGAAATGGCCCACTTATGTTGCTGACTTAGAGGATGATAATACTACACTTGATTTCTTTATTCAAGATGGCAGATGGAATATAGATAAGTTACTTCTCTTTTTTGGGAAGGACTTAGTGGTTTTGATTAGCAATATTCAGATTTGCCAAGAAGAAGAAGTGGACTTCATGGAGCTGAAAAAGAAACTATCTGGGAAGTCTGTTTCAGCTATGGTAAGGGAAGAAACTGTAAAGGAGGTTACGGATGTGGATCCTAACTCATGGATTCACAAGATGAACTTGAATGCTCGGGTGGAGTTGTTCATATTGAGATTGTGAAAAGGTGCATTTCAAATAGCAAATTTTTTGATGAAAGGAAGTTGGCTATTAGTAATTTATGTCCAAGAGGCTGTGGGGAGGTTGAGGATGTAAATAATGTGACCACTAATTGTTCAAAGTTGTTAAAGGTAATTTGTAAATTGAGGAAATGGGGATTTCTTATTCCGTTATTCAATTCTTTTCAACATTGTATAGATGAGCTGAAATCTATGTCTGAAATGAATTCAATGATGGTGAAGATGTATTGCTCTTTGTTATGATACTCTTGGAGCAACAGGAATAAGTCTAACCATTAGAAGATTGAAGATAGTTTATCAATTATTGCTGCAAACGTGATTAGCTTTGTTAGTTTGGATAAACGAAACTAGGTTCTCTGGGATTACTAGGATGCTGGCCAGTCCTATGGGCTGTTTTTAGATTTTTGCTTCCCCCTCCACCCGAGTGGTATAAAATGAATATAGATGCTTCACTGAAAAGTAATTATGGAGCAGGTATTGGAGGCATTGTAAGGGACTACAAAGGAAGGTTTCTCCGTGCATTTGGCTTTTATGGTGTTCACTGGGATTTAGCACAAGTAGAGCTCTATACATTCAGTTTTTTAAAGGAAGTTTTGAATAATTGTTTTTACAATGCTAAAGGTATTATTATAGAGCGAGACAATAAAAATGTGATCCAGTTTCTTCAAAACATGTACAACAAAGGGAAGAAATTAGGTGGGAGCATTGAAGATTAAGATTTTTTTAGCTTGGCTTTTTGGAATAATGTTATTTTTCAATTTGTTGGTAGGAATTGTAATAGGTTAGCAGATTACTATGCTAACTTAGGCTTTTCATATGATTTCATTTGGGACTTGTTTTGTGAGAGTACACTTCCTTCCTTCTTTGTTAAACTTGTAAAGGAGGAATGTGATTTGTTGGTTCACTCTTAGTAGCTTGTATCTAGGCTCTTTGGTTTGGCTTATTTAATGCAGATTGCATTTCTTTTCAAAAAAAAAAAAAAAAAACCAAAGCGTAGAGAACATATAAACAAAGCATAACAAAAAGCATAGTGAAATAAAAGGAAAGCGCAATGAGACACAACAAAAGCCCTTATTCAATGTACTTTGATTGCGCTTTTGATGCTTTTTGATGTGCTTTCACTACACTATCACTGCGCTATTATTACACAATTGTTGCGCTTTAATTGCACTTTCACTGCGCCTTCATTACACTTTTGCTATAAGTTTTTAATACTATTTAATTAATTATAATTCTTTTAAAATTATTTTAAATTATAATTACAAATATCAATACACACGTGCCTCTCCTTAAAGGTAGTAAATAAATTGTTGGCCATCTCTATAGAATAAAAAATATCTGTATTGCCCCCCTCCTCCCCATTTGAGAAATTGTGGTTTTAAATATTGTTACTTTGGTGTATTTAGAGCAAAGTGCTCCAGGAACCATACTTTACTTATATTACGCCTTACTTTTTACTATATTGCATTTGCATTTCATGAGTCATTGTACATATTTGTTTTTTTACATAGCATAAGAGGCAATGTAAATTCTAAATTTTTAAATGAGGCAATGTAAAGTCTAAAATTGTAAATACAAAGTCTTTTATCTTTGTAATAGGAGATAAAGTTTTTAAAATGCAAAGAATTATAAAAGATTTAATGAGGATTGCTTATATACACTTTTAGGTTTCAAAAGAAAAGGATTCTTCTTCATTTAAAGATCATTATCATTTAGAATTTTATAAAAGATGCAAGAGCCAACATATTAAAAGACTAATGCAAGTTATGATATTTAAATCAATATTTTATCAGAGTAAAAATCCAAGCCTGTTGTGGTGGAGCTTGGACACCTATTATTTTACAACAAATCGTAATTTGTACTTAAATTTTCATTACAAATAATTGAATAAAAGTTTTATGTATATATTGTTGCATAAATCAACATCATGCATTGTGCTAGTTAAGTGATTTTGTATATTAAAGAGTCCTTATTAATTTTTGAACCAAAACCTTTATTTTAATTGAACAAACAACTTTCTATCTTGTATTTATAAGACATTGAATTGCACTTAGGATTTTATCTAACAATCCCTTCTAAGAAAGCATAAGTCCATATTGTATACACACCCTTAATATCTCCTCCTAGGAGGGTTATATAAATCCTAAATGAATTAAGGAAGGTTGTAAATGAACTTCTAAATTAGTGTATAACACCCTAATGAGAGTATTTAATACTCTGATAAATAGTGGAAGAAATCATTTTATACTCATGAAGTCAAGGTCTATCTAAGGGAGCATTATAATAAGCCTCTAAATCTATGATATGGAGCATAACTTTGATTCTAAGGCAGTTTATTTCTAGGATAAGGGTTATTGAGCCCAAAGCACTCTCCCATTTTACATTGAATCTTTGCCATATCATTTTATTAGAGTTGAGTTTGTGAATATCCACCATCACATAGATAAGAGTTCTAAGAGTCACACTATTAGCTGATGTACTAAATCAATAAGGACACAAGTTAACATGAAGTTATACACATTTTTAGAAATATATAATGGCTGATTATGATAAGTGATTCCTAATATCAAGTTTTCTTTTGAGAATGTTACTCTTGGAACCTCTTTAAATTAGAAAGCTTCTTCAAAATATGTTTATGCTAACTGAGACATACAGATCTTTGGATTGAGTAAAGCTTTGATGTAAGCTCTTATCATTTCCTTGGAAAGGACCAGAGCATCTTAAATACTTAGTTTCATAGGTTATTTTTAAGATGAGCTAAAACATTATATTCTACTTTAGAAATTTCTAAATAGTTACATCCTGATCATGCACTAGCTATGGTTATGTTAAAGTTTCAGGATTATCTATGACTTATTTTACTTTTTTTTGTGGAAAATTCTCAATGCAATATAACTTTACTAATATGGAGATTTAATTGCTACGCATGATAATTATCTACTTCATTATTAGTGATTACCTTTTAGTTTTCATTTGGTGAATTCTTAGATAATGATATCTCTATTTGGATATTAATAGGATTACCCTAAAAATTGAGAATATGGGTGTCATCATCATAGAAATATTTAAGTGATTCCTTTAGTTCATTTTAATTTATTTCTATTTCCTAAGATATATTTTCCTCTTTACTTTATGAGCTTTTAGTTGATTCATCATGAAAAATGTACAAGATATATTTTCCTCTTTACTCTTTAGTTGGAGCTTTCTTTTGAACTTCCTTAGGAGTTACAAAATTAACTTGGATGGGACTTTGTGCTTATGGTGATTCCTGGAAAGATGAAATATAAAATTTATTTAACATTCTTTTAGATGACCGAGATAAAGTATATTTTGAACCATCTTTAGGCTTTATAATATTAGAGGGTGTAAATGGCTCACAAATCATGTATTTTGTAGATCCCTGGCTATATCCCAATAGCCTGAGACTTGATGTACTTCTTAAGGTACTCCTTAAAGGTAATGCAAATTTCTAATTCATGACCCAACATCTAGTGATATGGGAAATAATTTGGTTGCCCCAATTTACTCACTTCCTCATCTACATGCTCTTTATTTTATTCAAATGTAGAAGGATTGGCCACTATTGCCAATATGGACTCGAGTCTTGTAATTTTGATGATAACAAACATATTGGATTATCTACTATGATATCTCTTGTTATTTTTATTATTACATATTTATTTCTTAAGTACTAACATTTTAGGTCCATTGTACACTAGGAAAAGTCATCAACTCAAGACTAGGTAGAGTAGAGTTAAGTGTCCTAAAGAGTCTATGTTTCTATTTTTATTTATTTCAACATTTCTT